TCAATGCGACACGTTAGGGACAACAATACGGTGGCTCTCAGTCCGGACCCGTGAGGCACTAGATAGTGTAATAAGGCATATTTTCCATGCTTTAGCCTCGATAATATGAGCTATCATTGTGAACAAAGTAAGAATATAACGTAAATTAGGTTTTACCTTCAACTGAACAGAGAACAAGATGAACTTAAAACGTTAGCCTAGTAGCCATTAGAGCTAAACCAGTAGCCGTTGGCCGTTAAAGCTAACGAGTCAGCTCTAACGGTGTTCAGCAGAAAAAGTTAACTTGTCTTTCCTTTTCCTTTGTTTTTCTTTCCACTTCACGCGTCCAGCTTAGAAGTCGGATGATCTGGGAAAGCGTTTGTTTAGTTGTATAACTGTTTTAAAACAGAGACTCTCACGCTGCCCAGCTTAATCGTTTCCGGATCTCTCTCGCTTACACACTCGATGCTGCGGAAGGGCGGGTCTTGCAGCGGCAGTCTGAATTCTGATTGGTCCAAACTCACTGGAAACTAAACTTCCTATTGGCTAGGTAGACCACCTAGCTTTCCTAACCTCCGTTTCTTAAAGAGGCATCCACATTTTATGTGGGTTACACCCTCCCCTCTGAAGGGTATGCCAGTCCCTGGGCATCTGCAATGTGACACTGCGTCACACGGTTTACACATGCCTGACAGAATTATGGGGTACATTCTCAAAACCATTCAGGGAGCTAGTCAAAGCCTCACTAAGACCGTGGAAAAGAGAATTCACCACCATTATCAGCGGATTTCCAAGTTTTACATATTCTAATCTATTAGGCTTTGTGTGCACTCTTTGAGAGCGACGGAGGGATGTTTCACCATCTTGAAGTCCATCAGTCTGAAACTTTAAGGGTTCAGGCTGGGCAGTAACAGGTGCATTTGCATCACAACACCCATCATCATATGCTGCATCTGAGCTTATTTCATTATCTGGAGGAGTTTCCTCAGACTGCTGTGAATCCAAACACTGGGGGGATCTGTTAACTGAGTTCAGTTCAGGTAAAACTTCTGCTTGTTCAGGTGAGTTGTCATGTTCAGGTAAGTTGACACTTTCAGGTGAGTTGACACTTTCAGGTGAGTTGACACTTTCAGGTGAGTTGACACTTTCAGGTGAGTTGACACTTGATGCACCGTGAATATCTCCAGTACTTCCATCTCCTACAAGGGACTGAGTTGCTGGAGCATCAGGTGAGAGGGAAACTACAGACTCCTCTGTTTCTGCTGCTTTCTGGGCTGCACAAGGAGGCTCACTCGACTTGTGAGTTTCAGGCACTGCAACATATGTATCAGGTTTTGATATAATACGAGGGAAGAATGTCCAATCAGGTACATCATCCAAATCTGAGATGATCTCCTCTTCACTCTCGACGACTGGACATTGTCTTGTTCTTGGTCTCCTGTTTGGACGAGGTTTGACTGTTTCAGGTTCTGCAGCTGCTGACAGGAATCCACATGGCA